CGATCTGCGACACCAAGGCTTCCGCCACCAGAGACATGTCGGCCAGCGAGCCCCGCGCCCGGCTGCCGGCTCGCTGCAACCCTCGGCGCCCTCCGGCGCAACCTCCACGGCTCCGGGCAGAGCACAAGTCTGGCCGGGCTTCGGCTCAGACTCGCCGAAGCCACTTGGGCAGCAGCCGCGGCTTGGCCCCCAAGGTTACCGCCAGGTCCTGCCGGCGAACTTCCGGCGTAGTGACAGCCGCGCGCCGCGCTTCCGCCCGCCCCGCCCCACGTCCGTCCGACTTCCGGTCTCCCCGCGAACCTGTGCCGGCCAGGGTGCCCGAACCCTGCGGGCGAAAGAGCCGGAGGGCGGACGGTCCCATTAGTCTCCCACCTAGGAGACGCGTAGGTGTGGATGGCGTATCTGTAAGCCATGATTTGGGAACCATGATGCACCCTTAGGGCCTGCTTGAACACCAGGCACTCTAAAGATATTTGTGGTAGGTATTCTATTTTATCTCGTCGAAACACTGATAGTGTTGTCAGCCTGGATGAGGACCCTGGCTTGGCTCCCGGACTCCGCGGAGGTCCTCCAGCCCACGGGACTTCCCTCCATTCCACTAAGCTGCCTGCTTGGTTGGTCCATGGACTGATGCTAGTGTTATTTCGTTATTCACACGTGCTTTTCAGGAAGGAGGCCTGAGTGGCCCCTAAGCTGAAAGTTTGCCCTCCCAAACACCCAAAATGAAGCGCGGATTGGGGAAAAACATGTTAGTTTTCATATACAAGTGAAGGGGCAGGAAGAGGAGCAGACACTAACTCCCCTAAATAGATATTTCCCCACTAATCACATCTGAAATTATATGCATAAGACTAAAGACATCCATTTATATTACAGAATAATATAAAGACATAAAATCTGGGATAGTCTTCAAAGATCATCTGGTTAGCCAAAGCCCTCTTTTGATGAGAAACAGGTTCAGAGACGTGAGGTAACTCATTTAACACAATTGTCTTTAGCATGGGGTGAGGGCCTGGGTTCTATCCCCAGCGTTACAGGGGGGAAAAATCAAATAACTGAATTTGTGCAAAAAGAGCCTGGTGTTCTAAGAAGTATTGTTCATAGCCCAAAAATACTCTTTTATTATATCCATAGAGCTCTGAACCTCTATTACATCATTCATAGTCCTGTCTCCTTAGTATATTCATTTCAAAAAGCCAACATACAATACATATTACCACAATCTGGTGGCTTAAAACAACACATATTTAGTCTCATAGTTCTAGAAGTTAGACGTCTGAAATCAAGATGTTGGACCATTGCTTTCCCTTGAGGATCTGAGGAAAAATTCTTCCCTAACTCCATAGTGACTCATAGACACATCAGTCTTGCTCTATCATGCAGCATTATCCTTTGTCTTTCTATATGTTTAAATCTCCCTCTGTAGTGGAGACATGCAGTGAGACCACTCAGTCTGCAGTGAAAAATGTAAAAGATTTTATTGAATGAAAAGTGCTGACACCAGGACCTCACCTGGAGTCAGGATCCCAGGATATGGCCCTGAGTGCCAGCCCATAATGGCTTTTAGGCATTTGGGGCGAGGGCAAGGAAAGGGAGAGATTGGGTGTTGGTTGTAGCCAATGACTGTTACAAGAAATTCACACTTTAAGTTTAAATTTACCTCCCAAGGTTTGGCTGGTGGGAGGGGGGTGGAATTGGACAAAGGGTGGTGATGGTTCAGCTGGATTAGGGCTCGAATTGTTCAGAAAACAGCAGAAGCAGAGTTAAAGAGTTACAGTTTCAGCTACTAGCTAAAATAGCTAGTTACCAGGGAAGTCTTATCTACAGAAAGCACAGTTACATTTATATCTTAAAATCATTCATTATCCATTTTATACAATCCAAGTCAAATATTACATTCCATGCTTGCTTCCTCCATATCACCTCTTCTTATGAAGGCACCAGTCGTTGGATAAGAACCAACCTAAGAGCGTACAGACTTTATCTTAACTTGGTTTCATCTGCATATATCCTATTTCCAGGTGAGGTCACATTCACAAATATTAGAGGTTTCGATGTAAACATCGAGAGAACACTGTCTGTCCACTACACTAGATAAGCTTTTTCATGCCAATACTGAAATCGGAACTGTGGGCCTTGCACTTGCTCAGCTGGAGCTTTCCCACTGGAGTTGGACATCCAGCCCAGCTTTTCACCAGTTATTTTGAAGATTGACTTTTCTGCCCAGGATGACTTGGAAGTGTGAACCTCTGGATCTCAGCTTCTGGAACATTTAGAATTACAGTGGTGAGCCACCAGCATCCAGTTGATAATAGGCTTCTTTAAGTTAGGTCACATATTTGTATGCTCCTGAGCATACACGCATATTTAACAAGCATAACAAAGCTTGTTAAATCAAATTTAAATTTGCCCACTAATTTACATGGATATATATATATATATATATATCTAGATAGACAGATAGATAGATCTATATCTATATATAGATATAGATATATCACACAAAAGTGTCCAAAGTCTTGCTGCAATTCAGAGTTAACTAGGAACTGTGTATAACAGAAATACAAGGAAAATAACAGGTGGTTTTTATTTATGTTGAAGGAAATAATACCCATAGCAAATAGTACATGATGCTCCATTTCCTCCTCTTCCTGTTGGTGATATTGTTCAGGTATTTGGTGTAAATGAAAAGTTTTCAGCCCTGTTTGTTCTCTGCAAAGTGAATACTTTTGTAAAAATTAAGATATGGCCCCCTTCAAAGTCTATTAGCATTTTAGTTTGTCACTTTTATAAAGTTTTTACTAGCTTTTGACACATTTGGTACTCCAAAGAAGAGCCTTTGTGGAAACTTGAGCCAGTCACTAGTATCAAAGATTGGACTGAGAAACCAAGATCAAACAAGTTCAAGGAGGGTAGTTGAGCTATAAAGAAGATGATGGTGCTAAGAGCCAGAGACTGGAAATACATGCAAAAGAAACAAAACATGGCTAAGACTACACTGTGTCTTCACAATTTGGATTAATCATCTGTATCTTGATGAATAAAATGTAGATGAAATGGGAGACTTAACCTACAATACTGGGTTGGGCTTACATCCACCATCAAGAGTCTCAGTCTGTCAGTGATGTTAGCATAAGATGCTTTAGACTGAGTAACTTATAACAAATCTCACTTTTGGAAGCTGGCAAATCCTAGGGGAAGGCACCAGCAGATTTAATGTTTGATGAATGGTGTCTTCTTCATGTCCTCAGAAGGGTGAAAGGGGCTAAGACGCTCCCCCAGGCCTCTTCATAATGACCTTAATCCTGCAGTTGAGGGTGGAGTCCTCCAAGAGGCCACACCTCTTAATGATATCATACTGGTGATAATACTTTAACATATGGCTTTAGAGAAGATACCAACATTCAGACCACAGCAACAAACTTTTTAAGAAAAAAAAAAAAAGATCTGCTGGAGGCTCCATCTATACACAACTCTTTCTTCACTATAGCTAGGGAAACCAGAATCCTCAGCACCATATGGATTTACTTTTTTTTCTGTGACTGGCGGTTCTTTTGCTTCCCACACAGGCAAATTTAGGCTGGAAAGAATGTGTAATGTGGGAGGTCTTTATTACTCAAAATTAAATCCAATAAAATGCAGATGTCCTGACGGTGCCCACAAACAAGCTGTCTTTTTAATAGAGAGCCAACTGGAGAAAATATATGCATCTGTATTAGGATAACTGGCAGATTTAAAACTGAAGATCTGTTTAAGATCACCACAATTAAAAGAAATATAAGAAAACAAGCCACTGGAATTTTTAAGAGTGAGATTATAAAACAAAAGTGCTAGGGAATCTATATGCTACTAAAAGGATAATCACATAATTACTTAAAATAAAATATTAATGTATGACATTAACAATTTATTTGCCCTAATAAAATCACTTTTCTTGCCAAGCTGTTCTGTCAGAGGATGTTTTCATTTCCCTAATCTAGATTATATACCACACACTAAGTAGGAAAATACACATTTATTGTTACAAATATGTACTTGATTAACATTAAAGTAGCAAGGCATTTTATCTATTTCATTTTTCTCTGACAGACTATTAATTGTGATTTTTAAAAGGCATTTACAAAAGAACTTCTTCAAAATTATATATTATAAATTACTATTTGCTTAACAATGAATTTATAAATTAAGACCTTCTTGTTCAGTTATCTCCTCTATCAATATAAATAAATATGGAAATGCACTTAATCCAAATAAAGAGTTCAGTTCGAAACACTAAGGTAACCATGTTGTGCTCCCACAGCTTTCTGTTCCACTCTTATCAGTCTTTACTTCTTTAAAAACAATGGGGAATTAAAGCAGAACTAAGGAAGTGGAAAAACATCCCAAGCCCCTGGATTGGAAGGATTAACATCATGAAAATGGCAATATTTCCATAGGCCATGCAATACCTATCAATATCCCAACCTCATTCTCCAATGAAATAGAAGAAGCAATCCAAAAATTCATATGAAACAATAAAAGACCCCAAATAGTAAAAGCAATCCTTAGCAGAAAGAACAGTGCTGGAGGAATATCAATACCAAACTTTAAACTCTACTACAAAGCCTTAGTAATCAAAACAGCTTGGTACTGTCACAAGAACAGACCTGAGGACCCAGAAATGAACCCACAGACCTATAGCCACCTAATCTTTGATAAGGGGGCTAAAAAAATATAATGGAAGAAAGACAACCTCTTCAGTAAATGATGCTGGCAAAATTGGTTTAACACCCGTAGAAAACTAAAGCTAGATCCTTATATATCACCCTGACCAGAATCAACTCCAAATGCACCAAAGACCTCAAAGTCAAAGCAGAAACCCTGAAAACATTACAGGAAGGAATAGGAGAAAGTCTAGGGCTCCTTGGCACAGGCGAAATTTTCTTAATAAAGACCCAGAAACACAACAAATCAAAGGTTGAACAAATGGGATTGCATGAAACTGCAGAGCTTCTTCATAGCAGAGGACATAGCAAGATCAAAATAGAAAGCCCACAGATTAGGAGAAGATCTTCACAAGCCACACAATGGACAAGGGTCTCATATCTAAAATATACTTAGAACTCAAAAAATTAAATCCCCCAGCAACAAATCCTCAAACAACTGCCCCATTAATAAATGGGCTGAAGACTTAGAGACTTCTCTGAAGAGGAAATAAGAATAGCCAATA